TCTCCAGGAGAGAGTTTGGAGACCCCTACCTTGAACTCTTTGTCATGTCCCTCGGATCATTCCTGAACAATTTCTGCAGTGTGGCAGGGTGCATTATCTTGCTGAAAGAGGCCACTGCCATCAGGGAATACCATTGCCATGAAGAGTGTACCTTGTTTGCAGTGAGGTTTAGGTAGGTGGCATATGTCAAACTGATGTCCACATGAATGGCTAGAAACAGGGTTTCCCAGCAGAACATTGCCCAGAGCATCACAGTCCTTTGACAAGCTTGTCATGTTCCCGCATTGTACCCTGGTGCCATTACATTCCCATGTAAATGACGTGATGTAAAATAAAACTGAATTCATCAGACCAGACAACCTGCTTCCACTGCCCCAAGATCCAGTTTGTGGTTTGCTCTTCTTCAGACCACAGTTGGTGGGTTCTCACAAATGCTGACCAGGAGCAGCCTACAAGCCTTGCTCTTTCAGTGATGCTCTGACAGTTGTCTGGCCACAACATTTTGGCTCTTGTCAAATTCATTTAAATCTTTATTCTCACCCATTTCTCCTGCACCAATACATTGACTAGATGAACCTGTTGGTTATTTACCATGCATATTACCCAGACCTTCACATGACCTTGTCAGGAGATGATTGACAATATTCACTTCACCTATGCATGTTCATAATGTTTTGGGTCATCAGTAGCCGAGTTTCCATCCAAAGTTGCAAATTTAACTTGTGCGCAAAACTGGAATATCGCATAAAACATTTGCGAACAAGCATCATTTCCATCCAACAAGTCAAAGAGAACAAAATCGTCACTTCCTGATAAATTGGCACTATAAATCACTAAGAAAAGTAGAATATAATAATTTTCATATATAATAAATTACTTGCGCCTCAGAGCGAGCAGATTAATTTGGCGTTTCCATCACTCGTTTCTCATGCGATACTTCAAAATGCGCATTAAAATAGGGTGATGGAAACATAGCTAATGTGTGTGTGTGTGTGTGTGTGTGTGAGAGAACATAGAAACAGCAGAATGTTACACATTAATGTACCTGAAAATGTTTAGATTAATCTAAAATAATTATTGTGTAAATAAGCCATTCAGTTTTTTCAATTCTGTATAGTTTCGGTAGTTTCTCCCAGTACTACAGATTTTTTTTTAAATAAATGTTTCATTATAAACAATGAGATATTGTATGTGGTGGGTTGTTCATTGTCATTTCCTGCCAGTTTTAATGTTTACCAAAAAAATAATGTAATTTATCTTCTATTTTATCTTCTATTAACATGTTTGATCATTTAACAACAGCATTTGTGTCACTCATTTGTCTCCTGCAGAATAGTGGAGGTTGCTGCGTGTCACACCAGTCACACATCAGCGGCGAAAACACAGAGCGGTCAGGTGCTGATGTGGGGTCAGTGTCGGGGTCAGGCTGTGGCCTACCCTCACCTCACACACTTCACCAGCACTGATGATGTCTTCGCCTGCTTTGCCACACCGGCAGTCACCTGGCATCTTCTGTCTGTGGGTAAGATCTTTATTCCACAAGCATTTTTCCGGCCACTTTTTCCATCAGCCTTGGTTTCTGAAGTGTATTTTCATTTCATTTACTCCATAATCATTTCAGAAAGTTCTTCAGTAAAGTGTCTTTAAGTCTGGGACCAAACCAACCAGCAAACAGTGAAAAAAAAAACAAGACTTCATAGACACTGAATTAAAACAAGTGGGCAAATTAGTACAATGGGCTACAATTTGCTGGAAAAAAGGAAAGAATTAATTAAATATATCCACACATATATCCACACATATACACACACACAAACACTTAGGAAATAGGATTCACAATATTTTATCACAATATTTTTTTCCATGTCATACAATATTGATATTTATAACGCTATTTGTTTCCCATTAACGGGGAAGTAAAAGCTTGTATTAAATTCTTTAAAAATATTATTATGATTACTTTGTGAAGTAGATTTTAATATACAATAATTATATATCTCTGTCCTAATTTCTTCAAGTTAAACTAAACTTTTTTTCTCAGTTTATTGTGAAGATCTTTGAGTTTCAGTGTTCATGGTAGTTTTTCTCAGATTAAACTGTGAAAAGATCATGATGTGACTCATGTCCTCATATATTGAGACAGCAGACAATGAAAACACTGCGAGAATTACTCGTGTTTGAGTTTGTGTGGTAGACCAAACTACACCATTCATTCACACACAGACACATAGAACATGCAGACTTATTGGCACCATGCACTGACTGGCTGTCTATTGTTATTGTCACGTTTATTTCTATGCTGTAAGAATATAAAATCACCAGGGAAATAGGTAGTAGGTCTCAGTTTGTGTAAATCTACAACCCCAATTCAGAAAAGTTGGTACGTTTTGTAAAATGCAGTAAACGTAATCTCGGTTCCCTGAGATGCAGGAATGAGTACTGCGTCTGATGCTATGGGAAAAAGTCCTTTTTTCTCCTGAGCTGAAGCCTTTTTCAATAACGCAGTGTAACTGCACGGCCATTGGTTCGTGCAGTACACTTTAAAAACGAACCAATGGCTCGGCAGCGGTGCTGCACGAACCTATGTCCACTAAGCCCGCCAGAATGTGCGGGGCCATCTGGCTATATAAGCGGCACTTCACCATAGGATTCAGGTTACTTCGACTGAAGCAACGTCTTGAGTCGTGCAGCTGCATAGCACGGCTAGCAACGCAGTACTCATTCCTATATCTCAGGGAACTGAGGTTAAGTTTGTAACCGAGTACGTTCCCTATCGATACTTCACTCGTACTGCGTCTGCTAATACGCTATGGGAACCAGTACAATCACGCCGTGCTTATGACAGAGGAACGACTACATGTGTAACCTTGCACTAGGCACCTCAGGGCCCAAGGGGACAAGAATAGTAAACACCTCCCAAGGCGAACGGGCTAAGCTCACAGAGGTCACGCCCGGCCTGAGTGATCATTCCAGAAGACTTGCACAGCCCCGGCACCCATGAGGGCCGAGAGCGCACAAGTAAGTCCTCTGATGGGTTTGAGCATGTTACGGCCAAACTCCTGCTCAGAGCAGTACTGCGTAAGCAGGTGCGTGCCAGTTATGCAGAAAGAACCCTAGACTGCACGGCAGGGACGTCCAGGTTATAAAACCTAGCAAATGTGGACGGAGAGGCCCAACCGGCCACTGCACAAATTTCCGCAATGGACACGCCGCTAAACAATGCCCAAGAAGAGGTGACACCTCTAGTTGAATGGGCTCGTACTCCAATGGGGCATTGCAGGCCCAAGGAAGAGTAGGCTAGCATAATAGCGTCAACTATCCACTTAGAAAGTCTCTGCTTCGGGACCGGATGCCCTTTAGCGTGGCCACCGAAGCAAACAAAGAGCTGTTCAGACTGCCTAAACAGGGCGGAATGCTCAATGTAAACTTTCAGCGCCCTGACGGGGCAGAGTAAATTCAACTCCTGGTCCTCTTCTGAGGGAGGAAGCGCAGAGAGTCTAATGACCTGTGCCCTGAATGGAGTAGAGAGCACCTTAGGTATATAACCATGCCTCGGTTTCAGCGTCCTTGTCCTTAGAATAATAAATTGGGCAATGAGAGTTGTCTTTTGAGGTGAAGAGGTCCACTTCCACCTTGCCAAAGATCTCTCAAATTTTTTGAACTGTCTGCGGATGAAGCATCCACTCTTTTGAGTGGGCTTTGCTTCGTGACAACATTTCCGCTCTTTGGTTCAGTTTGCGTGGAACGTGCACTGCTCTCAGCAAATGCAGGTTGAGCTGAGCACATTCCAGGAGGTGCTCTACCAGCACAAAGAGGCACCTCGAGGAAAAGTCCTCCCTGCCGATTTATGTAGGACACCACAGTCATGCTGTCCGAGCGGACCAGAATGTGGTGTCCCCTCAGGTCCGGTAGGAAAGCTTGACATGCCTGACATACCGCCAGCATTTCGAGGCAGTTGATGTGAAGACTGTCCTCCGCTTTCGACCAGTGGACGAAAGCCAGTTTTCCTTCGCACAGAGCTCCCCAACCTGTGTTGGAAGCATCTGTCGAAACCACCTTTCTCCTGCAGACCATTCCCATGGGGGGCACCCTGTTCCATCCACTGAGCATTCTTCCAAGGGGTCAGGGCTGTTACACAGGTGTCTGTGACGCCACGCATGGTATGGAATCCTCGGTTTCAGCCAGTACAAGGCCAAGGGGATGCATACGAAGCAGGCCCAACTGTAGCATTGGAAACACTGCGGACATAAGGCCCAGCATCTTTTGAAATGCCTTGAGGGAGCGAGAGGCACCGGCCTTGAAGGAAGCTGCAAGCTGCTGTATGACCAGAGCACGCTCTGTCGCGACCACCGCTCTCATTTGGGTTAAGTCGAACACTGTCATTGGCTGGGGGACAGTGCACTCCTGGCGAAATTGACCCTGAGACCCAGGCATTCTAAGTGGCTGAGGAGGAGGGCTCTGTGAGATACTGACTCTGCCTCCGACTGGGCCAGAATGAGCCAGTCGTCGAGGTAATTGAGAATGCGGCTGCCTCAGGGGCATGAGTTTCGTGAAAGTGCGTGGAGCCAGGGACAGTCCAAAGGGAAAGACCATGTATTGATAAGCCACTCCCTCGAAGGTGAATCTCAAGAATCGCCTGTGGTGGGGGGCTATCTGGATGTGAAAGTAGGCGTCTTTCGAGTCCAGAGAAATGAACCAGTCCTCTAGGCGGATTTGTGAGAGGATCTGCTTCAGTGTAGTCATCCTGAACGGCCATTTCATGAGTGCGCAATTCAGGTGTCTGAGATCGAGGATGGGCCACAGGCCTTATCCTTCTTGGGGACGAGGAAGTAATGGCTGTAGAAGCCTAACTCGCTCTGAGCTGGAGGAACCGTCTCTATGCCTCCCTTTGCCAGCAGATTTTTCACTTCGGAGCGCAGGACGTGCGCATCCTTGCTCTGAACTGAAGTGGGGACCATCCCGCTGAACCGTGGGGGTCTTCGAGCGAATTGAAGTGAATAGCCTCACTTTATTATCCCCAGAACCAAGGTTATTTTCGTAAACGAAAACTAAGACGAAAACGATTGATGAAAAAACAATTTCGTAAACTGAAATTAAATAAAAATGGCAAAATAATTCAAAAACTAAAACGAAACGAAACTAACAACAGTTATTGAAAAACTAACTGAAATAAAATTAAAAATAAATAATCGTTTTAGTAATCATTACGTTCTCACCCCTTGGCGGAAAAATAAATGAGCTGTGTGGCGGTTTAGGGAAATACCCGTAAATGGCACATCGCGCACGTGAGGTTATCTGACGGAGAGACGCAAAGCAGTTTAAAGCAGAGTCCTGCACGGGTCCTGTTTGGTAAACAAACACCAGCAGTACTTAACAGAACACTCGACCCGTTATCCAACAGCAGCACTAATTTAATTCTGTACCAGACCAGACCCGTTTGACATAAAGACCGCGAGTCGCGACCCGAACCGCACTCGCATTAAATCTATTACATCAGGTAAGCAAGATTATTTATTTTCTCATGTAACACAAGCAATCAAACCAACA